CTGGTCCCACCCCCAGCACCTCCTGGTGCTTAAAGTGGAGAAGGCGTCGCCCTCAAAGCCCTGTTCCTGTGAGACCACAGAACGGGCTCCCTGCGCCTCTCCGTCTCAGAATGCTGGTGCTGGGGGACTCCTGTAGCGTGACGTCATCCTCTCTGCCACTTGGATTCACTCCATCCATTCACTGGAGGAGGGAGAGAAGTGGGTATTAAAAGCCCACGTGTTCCGATGTGTAGCTGACAACTAGTACTCAATACCTTCCTTCAATAAGGAAGGGCGTGGTGACTTCAGCTGGGCAGGGGCTTATGGGCCTCGCACCATCAGAAAGCCATGCCGTGTGTTCAGTGCCAGCCTTACCCTAAAGAGCTGGTAGGTGTTTGCCCTGAGTCAGTGGTAAGAACTCAGTGGAGCCTCAGGCTTTAAGAGGGCAGGCACTCTGAGTGCCTCCCTGTGCCAGCCCTGGCCGGGGAGGCCAGCGCATTGCAGAGGCTCAAAGGACCCTGGGAAATGTGTGGTGCTCAGGGCTCAGAGTAGCCGACAGACCCCATGTGTCCCAGAACAGTGACGAAGCCCAGCTCTGCCCTGATGGCGAGGCCAGGGTACTTGCCTGGGAACCCTGCAAGAGCTGGAACCGAATGTCTCCCCGGATCTGCCACTCCGGCCAGTTTCTGGAGGCTGGCATAGGCCCGAAAAGCTCCGTGCACTCCCGATCCTGCTCGCTGGGTGCAGTGTTCTCGCTCAGATGAGCATGTGCTGAGCCTGGGTTCACCGTCACCACACGGTGTGGGCTGCACACGGTCCAGCCCACACTGGAATGTCAGTGTGGCCACAGTTGCACTGCACAAATGGGATGCATCTGAAGGGATGCAATGCAGTGTAATACCCAGGACACGGAGGAGGAGGATTCCTGTTCCCCTGGCCCACCTGACGCCTCCCTGTCACTGAGCAGAGGAAGGTGAGCTGCACAGCGGCCAGTGTGCCCAGTGAGTATTAACATCTTAATGGGCGCGCTGGGCGCGTGCTGGATGCATTTACTGCTCTCTGACAAGAGGGAATTAAATGTCAGAAGGATTTGTAGCATCTGTAATTGAATTGGTGCTGAGAAAAGCAAATCTTAAAGAATAACAACATATTAGGATTAGCAAGTAATGTGGCATTTTGTCAGTGGTGCCATTCAGTTCGTTCCCCTTGAGTAATAAAGTTGTGCTTTTAAGATGCACACTTATTTTTGTTGTTGTGACGGGAGCCGAGATAGGGGAAGAGAATGAGCAGCTATGTGACTTGGGTGGTGCCCAGGTTTTGGTTTGTTTTGTTTTGTGTTTGAGGCCAGATTTTGTTTTTGCGAGAGATTAGGAAAATCCACTGTCAGGCTTTCCCTTTTCCAACAAGTGACACCCTGATCATTAAGCTGCTTCTGAGATAGACTAATCCCCCCTCCAGCCCTAGGAAGCCGGAGACAGCCTCTCCATCCTATACCCCGGTCTCAGAGTTTTCCACAAAACTGGCCCATCCAGCAAGACTCCGTGTGGGGAGGCGAGACAGGGCCAGGGGCAGGACGGTAGCAAAGAATCAGCGATCAGAACTCTCAGCAGCCCCCAAAGGAAGGCATGAAGGTGGAGCATCTGACTTGTTCCATAAATTCAAGCACGAGGCCGGATATCCTCAGAGCCTGCTAAGGTGGTTTGTCACCCGGGAGAGAACAGACGGAGCGTTTAAAGGGGAGTGTCTAGCTCTCCCCAAGTTTTCCGTGTGCCTCTCTCCCGAGCGGAGTGTTCCCGGTGGGAAGGAAGCAGCACTGTGTGGGACTGTGTATTCCTTATGGTGTCCTACTCGGCTTCTCTGAGATGGACGACTTGGTGTTCTTTTGTAAAACACAAAACGAAAACAAAAACAAAAAACAGCCTCAGGCTGCAGCCTGGCTGTAAGGTGCCAGGGTGCCCAGGTCCCTGTTTGCCAGGAGCTAGTCTGGGGTGTCCCTTCCTTGGCCCCTGGCAGGCCCCACCTTTGGCAGCAGAGCCTCTGGGCTCTCCCAGACCATGGTCAGGCACTGGTGTGAAAGGTTATGTTCCGAGACCCTGGCCAGGCTGCCAAGTAGCCACAGCAGCCGGGGCCTGGGGCAGGGCGCTCTAACAGCAGTTAGAGGCAGCCGGAGAGGGGAGCCCTGGAGGGGGACGCTGCCCCCCGCCAGCCGCCACTTTTCTTGTCAGCCTGGGAGCCAGGGCCTTCCTGTGTCCCGCACAGTGCCCTGAGGAATGGGCGGCCGGTCTCCTGACCAGAGGAAAGGCCTGAGCAGCCGGCCAGCCCTCCTGGGACTTCCTTTGACGTGGGTTGTCCTTTCCGTCCCTGAGGCCAGCGGGAGCCAGTGGTGAGAGAGCATGCACACGAGAGCGAGCTGGGGTAAAGGAAAACAAGAACCTCATGGCTGGGGTGGGAGGGGCTCCCAGCCCGCAGTGTCCCCCGGAATGAAGCATCGCCACTCTGTCCATCTGCAGTGACCGGAGGTGGTGGTTACCCAGGGGTAGTGAGCCTGCCCATCTGAGATGGGAGCGAGCAGGAGCCATGGCCTCATCGGCAAGCACCCGCCGTGTGCCTGACCTGGAGGGCGGGCGGAGGTGGCACCGGGTGTGGATGTGGGGCAGTGAGCGCGGGCAGCCTGCGCTCCCTCGGCTCCCACTTCACAGGAGCAAAAGCTGAGGGAATCGTGTGGGCTAGAGAAAGCCACAGACACTGCCCGTGAGGGTCTTGTTTTCCTTTACCCCAGCTCACTCTCGTGTGCGTGCGCGCTCTCTTTTCCTGGGCTTCTAGAACGTTCCTGTGCCTCAATGTGGAGGAGGCGGTCTTTTCCACGCCGGCCCGGTCTGTGCTGGGCCAGCCATCAATGCTGCTCTCTGCTGTCCCCGGCGGGCCCTGCCTTCTCCTCTTGTCTCAGTGCCTGGCACCCTCTCCTCATGGCCAGAACCGCTTAGCCCCCCTCGCCAGTTCCCCCAGGTCCCCGGCATGTGGACATGAGTTCATTCTCGCTCCCACGGACCCCGGACTTCACAGCTCACCCAGGAAGTCACAGTCTGCCGGCTTCCCTGTGTCTCCCTGTGAGCAGTTTGAATCGGTGCCCTTGGGGCGAGTCTGATGTGTAAACACAGCCCCTCCATCCCCCCCCCCACACACACACACACACACACAGGTGCCGGCATCCAGGGGCTCCCCTAGAGCAGCCTCCCCTTCAGCGAGCCCTGGTGTCTCCTGGAAGTTTCCATGACCAAATTCCGCCTTGTTGAAGGGAATTCCAAGGCTGTAGCGTGTGTTATAGGCAGTGCTTTGGCCGGGAGGGTTTCCTCCTCCGATTTCGAGCCCCGCTGGTTGGACACGGTGCTGGGGGCTGGCACGGGGCAGGCAGGTGAGCTCACTGGCGGGCGCACTCACGCCCACCTCCATGCTCCGCTTCAGCTCATCGCCTGAGGCTTGGGTGGCCGCCACAGCTCTCACTCGGCATTCCTGTTTGGGGTTGGATTCGGGGATTTTGTCGTCCTTTCGAAAGTCACTTAATGAAACACTTCAAATGCTTCATTTTAAAATGTAAACTCTTTTAATTAAAGCCCTCTCCATGGACCCCCTGGGTCAGGAGTCATTTGCCCAAGCCCGTCAGTCGTTAACCTGAGCGCAGAATTGGAAACATAGAAAGTGTAAACCCTGCCTCCCGCCGAAAGCGTGCTATCAGGCCTCGGCTCAGAGGAGCGCCATTACCTTTAGCTGTCACGGATCCGCACACTTGATCGATAAACTTCAAATATTATTAGAGGTGGAGGCTTCAGAGATTTGCTCTGTTCTTTGCCGAGAGTCCGAGATAAATCTTTCTTAAAAATGGACTTGAATCTGCGCTCTCGGTCTCCATTCCTCAGGCGTCCAGCAGCTGCGGGGACAGATTTATAGGCCATGTGCTGCTTGTACTGAAAGATTTAAATGGTAAATCCTTCACATATGACTTCACAAATCATGTAAAGTTAAAAGATTTTTACCGTTTCTGTTGCTGCTGTGCTTAAATTGTAAGGTACAGCCAGTAAATCATTTTAATGGAGGTGTCGTACTTGACTCAATAAAAAAAGAGAGACAATGGTTTAGCTTCCACTCCAAAATGTTAATGTATTAATCAACGGGAGAATAATTGTTTTTTACTGCATTATAAATCCTGGGTGCCATTAGGATTTCAGCAAGGGGTGATGTAGCCAGTCCTAAATTAAAATTGTTTACCCCGCCATACATCCACTCCACACGGCCATCGCTCACTCCGGTCCGTTCCGAGCTGCTCCCCAGCCAAGCACGTCACTCCTCCGTCGGAAGAAGACATCCTGAGAGAGTGATGCTTATGAGGGAGAATTAATTGCGTTGCGGAGTGCTAAATAAATAAAACGGGAGCCGTCCGTGGTGACGGACAATCACTCCTCGCTGTCTTTCTGAAATAGGCCTTTAGGTTTTAGATGGAGGCTTACTCCCGCACACATCCTACATGTAGCAAGCATGCCACTTGTCTTTAGTCTCATAATCCTGCTTTATCTCTAGGCAGCTGTGGCTCGGAGCGCCTCGCTTTCCCTCTGCCTGTGCCCAGCAGAGATTAAGACACTGGGCGGGCGGCCCGCCTCCCTCCACAGCTCCCGTTACTGCCCAAAGGTGCCATCCGCTCCGAGCGAGCGCCCTTGGTCAGGGCAGTGCCCTGGTAGACTGGCACCTGGGCAGATAGCGTGACACTCAGAGCAGCCGGGAGATAGGCCCTTCCTTCCCTGCTCCCGGCCTGAGTGTTCCAGGCGCATTCGCGCCCCCGTGTGGCTCTGGTGAAGTGGCCCGTGGGCGGAAGGGCCAGGGCAGCACTGGCCCGGTCAGTCTGGTCCCGCCGCTAGCTCCTCCCACCTCCCGATTGCTCTCTGTGACTCCTCCGGCCCTGGAGGCCATGTCCTGGGGCTTCTGGTGTCTGCAATGAGCTCTACATCCCTCTTCCTCTTCTGCTTCCGCAGACTCCCGAGCAGGTGAAGAAGGCTCCATCCGGGCGGTGGACCACGCCGTGATTGGCGGCGTCGTGGCCGTGGTGGTGTTCGCCATGCTGTGCTTGCTCATCATTCTGGGGCGCTACTTTGCCAGACACAAAGGTAAGCAGGTGCCTGGCAGGCGGGGCCTGGTGCCCCACCACCCACATCCACATCCGGGGACTTGACAAGGTTGCCCCGGACGGGGCCGTTTGGTTTATGTGGCCGCGTGGCCTCTCTGAGTTCTGAAACAGGGAGAGGGAAAGAAAGAAAATCCAGCAGCTGCTGATTAGGACTCTGAGAGCTGATGAATAGCAAGCACTCTTTGCTTTGGTTTCTTCTAAATATAAAGCTTTATAGATTGTTATTCTACAATTTACAAATGGGGATAGAGGGGAAACCACAGAGTCGGAGCTGGTGTGTGAGGTGGGGGTGAACCACACGGACATGGAGAGAGAGCGCCCGTGACCTAGAGCTTCCGGCGAGCGGTGGCCTGGCTCTGCGCCTGCCCCAGGCTCAGGTAGCCTGCCCGCAGTGGCCAGAACTCTTCCTTGGTTTGATGTGCCTGGAAACCCACATAAATATGTACTTTTTAATTGCCGGTGCCATTGATGTAAATCGCCATGAATCACATGCGTATCAGCTGTGCAGTCTTAATGGGCATCACCTTTTCCAGCGCTTCCCTCCTGCCCCCACTGCCCTGACCCTCCGCTCCCCGGGTAGTTTATTCTTCCTCCTCCCCGTCCGCCCTTGTCTCGGCTGTTTCTCTCCGCACTGTGCCATGAGCTTGTGGGGCTTCCAGTAGATGGACTCTAGGCGCTTGCATACTGCTCGCTCGCTTGTAGAACTTGGGTTCGGAAAGGTTCCCTCAAGCTCAACAATGGAAGTCCAAGGTCCTTGACAACTGCCTTCAGGATCCACAGGGCCAGTCCCAGGCGTGAAACTGTTTGGGATCTGGGGCCTATGCATCCTCCCCCTTCTGTCCACACCCTCTCGGGGTTGAGCCAGGAAGTCAGGCCAAAGAGCAGGGCAGAGGTCTGCGCTCAGCTGGGGAGAGCCGGGGAGAGGCAGAGGAAGGGGGGGGTGATCCTCGGGAAACCTGAGGGCAAACGGGTCAGCCTTCTTTACCCAAGAGCCTCTACGAAGGCAGTGTACAGTGGCGCAGGGCCATTGGATATTGACATAGGCAGGGCAGACCTATGTCATAACGTACTTTCTTCATGTGAACTCCTGGGACTTGGTGGGAAGAGTGTCACCAGCTTTGTACCGTCCTGTCTGTTGTCACTATAAAGTGGCCATGCCAGTTAGCAAATCCATGAATCTGGGTCCGGTTGCTGTGAGAGAGACTCGCCCGCAGCCTAAGGCAGGCCCAGCCTTGACGAACATCAGGCTAGTTCTGCACCTGGAACCCACCTGCCGCGCAAGCAGGAGCCCATCAGACACCCCGGCGAGGGCGAGCGCCTCCTGGCCCGCGGAGGCACCAGTGGCTGTGGAGACAGGAGGCCAGGCTCGGTGAACCCCTCGAGGGGGCAGTGACGTCACCAGGGCCCTAATCCATTCACCGGCTAATTGCTCTTTCTTGCTTTGGTCCTCAACCATGTCTGTGCATCTATCTGGTCATTGGTCCTGGGCGTTGACTGTGTATGTGTTAGCCAGCCGCTCTCCAGCTTCTGCATTTTTAGCTCCCACCCACGTCTTCCCTGCCGGCATCCCCTGGTCATAATCACTGCTCTAATGTCTCATTTGCTGAATTATATCGCAGCGGTTCAGCCTTTGGAGTGGTGCCTTTGGAACCCCGGATCCCCATCTGTCTCACCCACCCCCGCTCTCTCCTTCCGACTGTTTTCTCCCCTCCGCCGCCTGCACACCACTGCGCTGATGATGGCCATAAAGCAAGTTGCCATCTCTGTACCGCTTGACACAGAGGCCATCAGACAGTCACGGTGCTTTACCCCTTCATCTTGCAGGTACATACTTCACTCATGAAGCCAAAGGAGCCGATGACGCAGCAGACGCAGACACAGCCATAATCAATGCAGAAGGAGGACAGAACAACTCCGAAGAAAAGAAAGAGTACTTCATCTAGAGCAGCCTTTCCTTTCAATGAGGTGTCCCGCTGGCCCTATTTAGATGATAAAGAGACAGTGACATTGGAACTTGAGAGACATTCGTGTGATTTTTTTATGAATGGGTGGAAAGGCGCGAGACCTGGAAGGCTTGGGATTTGCTGTATAAAAAAACAAACAAATGTTCTTTGAAAAGTACACTCTGCTGATTGACACCTCTTTTTTTTGTGTTTTTTAAATTTTTATTTCCTCCTACCAAGTCAAACTTGGATGCTTGGATTTAGTTTGGGTAGACTGCAGAAAATTCTGTGCCTTGTTTTTTTTTGTTCGTGTGTTGCGTTCCTTATTTTCTCTTTGTGCGCATTTATTTTTCAAAAGCCTGTTTGATTTTTTCTTTTTTTCTTTTTCAAAATCTCCCCATTTTGGAATTTGCCTGCTGGGATTCCTTCGAATCTTCCTCCCTCCCCCTATTTTGCTATTGTTTTTACTTTTTTTGTTTATTGCTGAAGTAACTGCTTTGTGTTCAAAATTCAGTTTCATAAAAGGAGAACCAGCACAGCTTAGATTTCATAGTTCAGAATTTAGTGTATCCATATGCATTCTTCTCTGTTGTTGTAAAGATTTGGGTGAACAAACAATGAGAACTCTTTGCTGCTGCCCATGTTTGAAATACGTAGAGCAGTGAAGACTAGAAACTTAGACTGTGATTCAGAAACTGTTCTGTTTGCTGTGGAACTACATTACTGTACAGGGTTATCTGCCAGTGAGGTGTGTCGCAACGAGGTGGAATCTGTCCGTAATTCTGTGTCTTAGACGGCTCAGTGTAGCGCCCCCACACTGTCCAGGGGGGTTGGGCTGGAAGGAGCTCCTCCTCTTCCGGTGCCCCGACAGACCTGGCAGGGAGGGCTGTTCCTTTTGTGTAAGTGGACCAATGTGAGTTGCCGCAGGAGGGGACGCAGGGAGGGGGAGCGATAGTTCTGCTCCGGCTGTTTCTGTTCCAAATGACTCCATCCGCCTTCCCCAGTCGGCCTTACTTCTCACTCATTTGTAGGCAAGAGCAAGTCGGTGCGACGGGAGCATGACTGAGCGGGACAGGTTTCCCCTCTGTGCTCAGCCCGGAAAGGGTGGGATGTGGCCTGCATGTACTGTATATTACAGATATTTGTCATGCTGGGGTGCCCAACTCAAACCCGTGTGAGACTGTCCTTCCTTCCTTCCGGGCTCGGCGAAGGCAGGAGGTCCAGGAGGAGGCCAGCGCTGTTCTCACGCTGGTCTGCGTGGGCCTCCGATCTCAAAAAGGTCAGAGCAGAGGTGGGGAGCCGCATGCAGGGCTTTTCAGTTACTTAATCAGAACTCAGACGTGAGTGTTTTTATCTTTTTACCTTTCATACACTAGCCTTGGCCTCTTTCCTCAGCCTTAAGAACCATCTGCCAAAAAAATTACCAATCCTCGCATGACAGCAGCCATAGTGCATAGCTACTAAAGAAGCCACCCCCTGGAGGGCGTCGTGGGCGGAGCCTTGGGGAAAGGGGAGGAGTCAGTTGTTCTCTACATTTTCTAAAGGCAGGTACGTCTAGGAACCTAGAAGTAGCCCTGAAGAACAGAGACGAAACTCTTAACCAGGCGTCCTGGTGAGGCTCCAGACTCCAGAACGCAGTCCCTATGGAAAGATGGCATCAAAAAAGATAGATCTATATATATATATAAATATATATTATATAACATTTTCAGTGAGTAACTTTGGATTTTGCAAGGTGCATTTTTACTATTGTTACATTATGTGGAAAACTTACGCTGATTTATTTAAAGGGGGGAAAGTGTCAACTCTTTGTTATTTGAAAGCGTGTTTATTTTTCTTGTCTTTATTTTAACCTTTGATAGAACCATTTGCAATACGGGGCCTTTGGGCGCGGACTGGCTCGAAAGAGGAGGCCCGCCCAGCAGCCCTGCCTCCCTCTCCCGTCCCGAGGCACTGACCCAGACAAAGGCCACAACCAACGTCCCTTTTTCACGGGATTTTCTAACGTGCAGCTCTCTCCCGAGCCCTTAGCTCCCATTCCGACCTAGCGTGACCAGATCAAAGGGTGAGAATCACTGGGCATGTTGGCGACAGGGTTTTTTCAGTCGTTCTTTTGAGGAAAAAAAAAAAAAAAAAAAACATAAAAAACGAAACGTAGCATCGCTCACAGAATTGGCATCTCCGTTTTGGGACCGCCCATCTTTCTGTTCTGAAAAGTGTACAGTAGTGCAGTGTTCCTGATGTAACTTTATGGCTTACAATGTTGACATGTCTCAGGTCCATGTGTTTCGATTGGTGTTTTTTCCGTCTCAGGTAGATTGCTAAGTGTAGGCCCCACACATTGGAAAAAATAAAAAATAAAACAAAGCAAAAACAGGAAATTCTGGATTTTAGTTGTATATTGGTTCATGTATTTTTCTTAAGTATACAGTGCACTGTTTGAAATGTATTGTTGAGTATTACTTTGTACAGGTCGGTCACTTTTTTAGAGTGAAAAAAGAACAAACTTGTTTTTTGTGTTTTTTAAAGGAATATAAAATAATGAAGGATGTATAATTGATGCCAAATAAGCTTGTTCTTTAGTCACACCGATGTCCTATCTCCCTCTAGGCCAGTTCTGTTGCTAAGGTGTCCATGGACGGTGTTACGGTGTAAGAAACTCCATATCCATATGTCCCATTCGCATTTTGTATTGGTTCATGTATACCATTTTTACAAAAGAAAAAAAAAAAAAGAAAAAAAAGAAGTACTATAAGATATCTGTCTTCTTAATAAAAAAAAATTAATGTTACAAAGTGATCCTTTAATCTCATTATGGACTTTTTAACTAACGATGCTTCGAGTGCGAGAAGAGACGGGCCCGGTCCGGCTTCCTCCCCAGGACCTGGCGGACCGGAGCAGGGTGCTCTGAACCGACCTCTCCCGCTTCCCCCGCTCATCCTTCCTGTCCTGTTCTCTCCTCCTCCTCAGTGGCCAGGCGGGCCTGGTGCTGGCAGCTCGGATCAGCGGTTTGTGCAGGTGCGGGATGCAGCGGCCGGCCAGCTGGGATGGGCCCGCCCTCCGTGGACCCGCTCCGCACCCTCCCTCCCCTCCCCCACCAACTTCACTGTGTTGGCTGCTCCACCTGTCTCTTACTTAGGGGTTCTGTGTCTTAATAATCCATTCTGCCTTCTTCATTTCAAGTTTTCTCCTTTAACGGAAAGACGCGCTGCTGCGAGGGACTGGCCGGCCACCCACTGAAGATCGTTCTCACTTGCTGTCTAGGCTGCGGGGCCCTCCGGCCCCTGCACTGTGCACTCCCGTCTGTCCTTGCCTTGCAGGCCGGGGCGAGCCGTGGCTGGGCTCCCGGGGCCGAGCTGACAAATGCGCTGATATGTTTGAGCTGCCTGGCGTGCCCTTTCCCCTGCAGGCTCCCCCGAGTTCGCTCTTCCCTCTCTGGGCAGGGCCTGGGGAATGGCAGCCCCAGGTGAGCTCTAGGAAAGCCAAAGGCCAGCTATCTCATTTCAGCATCCTCCCTCCCGGCCTGTCTCTTGCCCGCCTATAAAAACCAGTCGCCCAGACGTGCAGCGGCGAGCCCCCGTAAGAAACACGGCGTCAGTCCCACCACCCCCGGCAGCAGGAGGTGGCCCTCAGGTGGGGCCCAGCCAGCATGTTAGAAGGGAAGTCAGTGAAGATGGCTTTCCGGGGGAGCCGGGGCCCCAGCGGGACCTCAGAGGAGTCTCCAGGACAGGGAATGAGCCGCAGGAGCGCAGAGGCCTCGGCTTGCATGGGAAAATAAAGGGCAGTCGGATAAGGTGTGGAAGGTGGGGGCAGTCTTATGGCTCAAGGAGTGGAAATGCCAGGGGCCTCTGTCCATCACAGCTGTGTGGACCGTCTGCTGGAGGGGATGCTGAGGAGAGATGGAAACTGCGTCCTGAGAGGGGCCCGGCCTGCTCCACCCTGTTAGCTGAACCTCGGGTCTGTGGGCACATCACGTGCTCTTGAACTTGCCTTTGACCCTTTCTCTTCACCATTTGGCGGTGCTGTTATTCCGGACCCTGGGTAGTCACATGGTATGTTTAGTGCCGCCCCCGCCCCGTCTGTAACATGAGGTGGGAGTTTCAGCTGAAACCTGGCAGAGACCCAGGAAGTCCCTGCCCAGCGGCACACGGCGGGCAAGCCTGGCCACACATTCCCTGTGAGTTCCACGGGTACGCGCGTGAGAAGGTGCCAAAAGAGCCCAGGCTAGCGGAGCTTAATGCATTCCTGGGCCTTTGTTCGGTCTGGGAGGGAAGTGGCCATTTCCTCCGGGGAGTTTCCCAGTGTTTGGGCTGCTTGCCTACCCCAAATATGTCACCTGGAGCCCTCAGGTGAAGTGCACATGTGAACTGGCGTCTCTCATTGTCCCGTCTACGTGAAGTGGAATTCTTACCCGGCCCGGCCCGACTCGAGAGGTGTCCTTCGATTCTGTCGTCCAGAACCTTAGAGCGGCCTGCAGCCTGCACACTACAGACTGCGCAGGGGAGGGCGCGCTGCAGTATAAAATCCTGCCCAAGGCAGATACGCACACCTTTTTGCTAGGACTCAAAGGTCCAGCCCTCAGGCGGGAATAACTGGCAGCCGGATCCTTTCAGAGTAGATTGTGCATCCTCAGCCACACGTGAATTGTTTGGAAATGTTTCCGAAGGAAGCCCTTGGCTGTCCTGACCCTGCCCAGGAGGAGGCAGAGGGGACCGGTGGCCACCACCCAATGACCTTGGGGGCCCAGATGTGAAGTCAACGTGGGCACACCAGACATGCGCAAGTGGCACTGATTACAGGGAGGCTAGGCAGCACCTGGTGCGTGTCTCCCTCGTCCTTAGCCACTAAGTCTGTGTCTCAGACCGTGGCATCTGTGAGTCCCTCCTCAGCACGAGCAGCTTTCAGGTTGGCCTGGAAAAAGTCAGCCTCCAGCCCCGAGTTCCGTGCTGTTAGTCCCGTCATTCTCCGGGGCCCATGGGGGGTGGCATCCTGGGTAATGG